TCCAACATTGGTGAGGAAATATTGTTGTATTATTGAATATCTTTAACAGAGTAGGTGTAAATTTTTCTAACTTAGCTAAGTATTGATTGGATACGTCTATATTTGCTGAGGGTTGAAAAAGAAACTATTATGCTTGGTAAATTTTTCTTAGTCATTCTATGACATTGTTGTTAGTTTAGGTGTTTCATGCATGTTTCACTTGAGGACAAGTAAACACTTAGGTTTGGGGTTGTGATAACTCTCCAAAAGAGTTATCTTTAGTAGCCTTAATTACTAGGTTTAGTTTGAACTTAAGCATATTTAGGGTTAAATTTGCATAATTTTGCATTTTTCATGATAGGAGTATCGTGGGTTTCTAAGGGATAAAATTTATTTTTGCTGCTGAAAACTATTGCACGGATTTTGTAGCATCGTAGAAAATGTTGATCGGATGCTGTAGTAGTCGTCTATGCTCCAAACGGTTAGAAGAACCTTATGGATTGAGACATCTGGCTTGGGTAGCAGTCATATGGATGGATAACATTTGAAACATGGACCTTTTTCATTGGGCGATGAAATTCTCATCCAAGCTATAAAAGGGGAGTACTTGGGTACAAAATGGGGGACGAGTGTGAGAGATCAAAAGTACAATTTTTCACGTTTTTTCTTCTCAAGCCTTGAACGCTTAAATCCTCTTTCGGGGATTACTACAGCACAAAGGAAGCTTGCTGAGGAGCTTCAGCGGTCATTGGATCACTGTTCAATACCTTCTATTGAGAGAGGGAGTGATTTGAATGATTAAACTTTTGTTGGATGTTTTTTTGAATTTCTTATTTCGTGTTTAGCCTTGAACTTTATGATTATGAGTAGAAGTACTTATAATTAGATATATAGTATTTTCATTTAAATTTAGAAATAGTTTCATTTAAATTACTATATACTTGTGTGATCATTGGCATTGTTGAGTAGTATAGTGTATGCTGAAGAGCATGCAACCAATTGATTAGTGTTGTTAATATCTTGTGCCTTTCATATATGAAAGTTGTTAAAGTAGTTCAAGAGGTTTTAATCAATGTTGATTGCATAATTTGAGTATTGAATGTGTTCATGAGATTTGAAGTTCATAATATTATATCCATCAATCTAATAGCTGACCAAGTTCTTCTTGGAATGTTGTAGCATGAACTGGTGTTTTTATTTATTGATTTTAACATCTACTCTTTAGCATCTCATATATTTCATAAATCATATTCCTACAAACTCTAATGGTGACACTCTGCTCTCTTTGGGTTCGACATCCGAAACTTTCTTAGTTTTCACTTCATTACTTGATTTACGATACGTGAACTTACTTAATTGCTATAGCATTTTTGTAGAATCACATAGTTGAGAGACTTGACTCAAACTTGAAAATAATCCACTAAGTATTAAAAAATTTGAGTCATTCGAGTTTTATTTTATAGGGTAAATTACATGTTTAGTACCTAAGTAATCAATTTTGGTCTATTTTAGTACATAAACTTTCAATTTTTTCAAAACTATACCTAAAGTTTTGTTTTTATTTTATTTTAATACCTCTACAGGCTCGTCCCTGATCATGGGCAAAAGAAGCACTCGCCCAGGGCAACCCACACACTTGCAAGCTGGATGCCACACATGGTGGCGACAGCTGGAGTGTTTGTCCTTTAGGGTTTCCCTTTGATGCTTTGTATCTTGGGCTTTCGCGCTTGCTTATAAAACGGGTTGGACCTGCAAAACAAAAGTATTTTATTAATAAAGTATACATATATATATATATATATGTCTAATCAATACTTACAATAATTAATCATAATAATTAATTAAAATACCAACAAGGTTGATTTAATTGATAAGGAGCTTGATATCGCTTAAGTAATGTCTCAGGTTCGAGTCCTTGTGTATGCAGAAAAACCCCGCTGAGAGACTCACCCACCAAAGCCAGGTGTGCGACCCGGGTCGGTCCAAATTAGTCAAGGCGAAGCCTTAGAACTGGAGAGCAATCAAAAATAATTAATAATAATAATAAGTAATTAAAAATATAAGATAAAAATGAAATTTAAATTTAACATCAGACGAAAAACGAGTGTCTACACAATCCATACTCAATTAAAAAAACCAACCTAATAAAATCGAATCAAATGAAGAAACCATCATAGTTGAATCTCGTGCTCATATCTAATCAAAACTAAAAACAAATCTAGATCAATAGCAAGCTCTGCCCATAGCCATAGTTATTGATGGACGTAAGGGTTGCTAGGGTGGGATTACACCTACCTTGAAATATGAATTTTTTTACATTAATTGTTTATTTTATTAGTGATATCAATCGTGAAATTTTATTTGTCAAACACCACTACAATAGTGAAACACTTCAGCACCATCACATGCACTTTTATCGGTAACGAAAGCAGTATAAGCCCTAATCTACTTTTCAACAACTTCATTGGGTAAACAACGGGGAGAGAGATCTTCCTCCTTGGAAGAGATATTCAATTTTAGGTACAGAAGGGCTATGCTACATCAAGTTAATGCGGCTGAAAGAAGTTCACCAAGTTTAGAAGTTCCCTATAAAGGTTATGAACAACGTACTCTCATTTAATGCATCATCAACATAGATTTTTCATCAATTAAATCCACAAATCTCCTCCTCTAATGAAATCATATTAGTAGATGGGCAACAAACCTATGTTGCACTTATGCGGATACGATAACAAATACATGCAGTGACAGATTCACATGTATTTGAGGGTGGACACATGCTTACATTAAAATCTTAATTTTCTTCATTCAATTATTTATTTTTATTGAAGGTGTCCACCCTAAATTTTTATTTGTGTTCATCTTATTCAAAAATTTTATGTTATTAACATATATGTGCTCACACTCAAAAATATTTCTAAATTCGTTATTCGCGGGTTAAGTAGGGGTACGGTTCTTAAACTACACTGCCCATGCCACTTATCTGTCAAAACATAACAAAAACTAATAATCAAGTATACTTTCATCAAAGGTTCTTATGATTTACATTGCTACATACACAATAAAGAGAAGTTGTTTAAGGGCAAACTTTTAATCTCACCCTATCGATCTAAATTTCTTATTTAAAACCTATAACCAAAGTTCTTAGTAGATTTATCAAAGTATAACATTAAAATTAAGCCTCAACATATATTAAAATAGTTATTTTGGCCTCAATTTTTTTTGAGTATTTTAGCCTCAAATGATTTTTTAATTCCATTAAAGATTAACAATAAGTGATTTAATTAACATCATTTAAATAGTTATATAATCTAATTAATAAAATTTCAAAATCAATAGTCAAAGTGAAAACAACCTGCTTCCATGTCGCACTTCAAGCTGATTCCAAGCTCAAATGTCTGTAAAGCTAACAACCCACTATGCTGTAGAAATTAAGGCTTTGATAAATTGGAAGTTAAATTTTGAAAGGATAAAAGATTTGGATATAGAAGATTTTAAGTATTTAGAAGATTAAAGTTATAAAAAGGACAATAATCAATCATTGAGTGAATGATAATGAGTGGGTAACCGTTCAACGATGATAACAGGGGTAGTGATGGCCAACGATGATAATGAAAAATTTGAAATTAAATATTTTAAGAATTTAATATTCTTTTTTAAAGTTTAAAAAAATGATGGTTTTTTTAAATAATATTTTCTTAAAATATATAAACATAAAATGTGTCAAATAATAATTTTTCTGAGACCGTTAGAACGTATGCATTAAAAAGAACAAGGTTAGAAATAGGAGTCACAATCCGATAGGGGAAAATTGAAAACCATGAGGATCTGAACTGACAGTGATGTGGAATAACTGAAATCTTCACCCATATGAATGAGAATGGGGAAGTTTTATCCCCGAAGCTCAAATGGGGTTGGGGACGAGGATTGTTATATTCGAACAACATGGATAACGGAACCGTACCCTTGTGAAAAACCGAGGGAATCCCTAAAAAATATCCTTAGGGATCCCTGATGTTTACAAAATTTTAAAAATATATTTATAATCATATACCTATATACACTTAATATATATTTTAATAAAAAAAATTATATATGATAAGATTTTGAGATTTCGTGTTGTCATTGTTACATCTCAAATGAACTAAAATTGAAGTTTAGATATTTTCTCATTTAATATACATTGATTTGTTGATATTGAAAATTGTTAGTATTGTACATATACATTGGGTGTTAGATGAATATTGACGTTTTTCATATTATAGATAGAGATCAATTTGAGATAATCTGATATATCTTACAAGCTTTAGGTGTTGTATTGATTTAAAAAATATTTGTTTATTTTTTGGGAATGAGGATTAACCGAAACTCGCATGGATCCGTAAGGGGTGAGTATGGGGACAAAAAAATCCTCGAAACATATAATAGGGACCCCAAAATCGTACCCACAAGTGTTGGAGATGGATTGGGTAATGTAGAACCGTCCCTACCCACCCGTTGCCACCCTTAGTTAGAAACATTAAACACATATTTTAAAGGCTTAATATAAAAATAAGTGATTAAACTATACTCAAAATTAACTTTTGGTGCTTAAAGAATTTTTCTCTAAGAATAGGTGCATAAAGTTTTCTCCGTTATACTTTTAGGTGCCTACCGTTAAAAAAATCGTTAAATGACACGTGTCACGTCCAGTTTTTTTTAAAAATATTTTTAAATACTATTTTAATTTTTAAAAAAATATGAATGTGACATGTGTCACTTAATTTTTTTTAAAATGGTAAACACCTAAAAATGTAAAAGAAAAAAATTTTAATCACCTACTTTTAATAAAAAATTCTTTAAGCACTAAAATATTTTTTAAAATATTCTTTAGACACTTATTTTTACTTTAAATCCAACTCCAATTTGTTAGTTTATCCCCTATCCAGTCCACTCTGAATCCAATTTCAAAAAATCCGATGCTGTCGGGTTGGGTTGAAATGTGTCGGGTTCAGCTTTTCCTCAAACCCAAGGCCCAACGGCACCTGCCCATGATAAAACGAATTTGAAAAGCAAAGATTTCCCTCTCGTTCAGTCATCCATCTTTTCCTAAATTCAAACAGGGGAGAAAACAATGGTTGCTATTCCCACAGACTCGAGCATTTCCTCCTATGCCAACGATCCTCTCTACCCATGGCTACAGTATTCTTCTTTCTTTTTGTTCTCTCACGGTTTTCTTAGTTAATATCAATTGTTTGCTATGAATTTCTTCCCTAACTTGTTGCAAATCCAGGTCGATAAAGAAGGAATTGGACGACTGGTACTCAGGGAACCGCACTGGTGGAGATCTCGACAATCTGTTATCAGATTGCATCTCTACTTTCAAGCACAATGCCCAATACAGAAACGACCTTCGATTTCTTAAGATTTGGTTCATCTATGTAATTATATTTTCTCACTCTTGTGCTTTACTTTTTCGTTTTGAAAAAAAAAATTAAGATGTTGCTTGAATTGGAGTTTGCTTTCGGGATGTTGCCACGATTGGTTGAGGTTGATAGCCAAATTACTTGATCGGTTTGACTTGATTTTCTTTTTCGCGTTTTGTATGATTTTATATGGTCCAAGCTTATATGCTTTATATGGAAAGAGAGAGAAATTTTCTCAATTTGTGGAATCTTGTTTAAGCTGCGTATTATTTAGGGTTCAGACAATTTAATTGAGTTTTTTATTTGCATTTTGACATTTCTTGAATTTTGCGGTAGATTTTGTTTATTTGCTATAAACAAATCTTAAAAAATTTATGTTGATTCGGTGCCTTTGATGCATGAGTTTACAATTTAAATATTGCATTAACTGAAATTTGTGTGCTCTCTCTCTCAGTTAGAAGGAAGTAAAGATTACGAGAGTGTTTTTAGAGAAATGGAAGAGAATGAGATATGTATAGGGCATTCTCTACTTTACGAGTGGTACGCATATTTCCTTGAAGCCAAAGGGAAGTTGAAAGAAGCACAAATCATTTATTGTATGGGCATTTCAAGGTTTTCTTTCCCTTCCTTATTTGAATTATAAGTCTTTTTTTTTTCTTTTTTTATTGGGATTTATGTTTTGATGAGTGATACTTCTATTGTTTTTGGAGAAAAGGAAAGCTGAGCCCATTGAGAAGCTAAAGTTGGCACAATCCTTATTTGTTGAAAGAATGTCTGAAATGCTTAATACTTTTTCACTTGGGAAGGTATTTAAAGTTTTAACCCTTGAATACTACCAGCACAGTACTTTATATGCTTGTTCATATACATTATACAGTAGGTGCACAATTTGATATTTCTTTTTTGATTTATACTCATTTAAAATATTGTGATGAGAGTTCACTATGCATCACCTCGTATGATTTCATGGAAATATCAAGCTAATGCAAAATAATTTCCTCTTATGGTAATTTTGAAGTTTTTCCTCATAAGATGGAGTTTGCATTTATTGTTTTTGAAAGTTTCATGGATTCATTGGTGTTAAGTGTTTTGAATCTTTTCTAAATGATTTGCTAAGGCTTCAACGTCAGCCTTTTCCTTCTTACCCTTTTTACGGATGCCTAACTAGGTATCATTGATAAACATTTCACTAATAAAGAGTAATACATTACATCAGAAAGTGCGCTTTGTTTGAGTTTTGAACTAAAAAGGCTGGCTGGGTAAACCCTTGCTTTCTTTCCATTCAGGTTGATGGAGATGAACAAGCTGAGTTTGGCAAGAAATTTATTAACCCATGGTCTCCCTTCACCGTAGAAGAGCTTTTAAAGAAGATACAGCCACAAATTACAAAATATGATGTGAGAGAGTTTGCCAATATTTGTTGCGTGTTTCTTCACTTTATAGTCGTATTCCTGGTTAGTCTTATTTTATCCTTTTTGACATTTATTTCAGGGATACCACCTGAGTAAGAAAGCTTATTCTGGAAAAGTAGCCTTATCTTCTCTGAAGAAATCGTCAAGGAATAAAATTATTGAGATAGGTAATTTTTGTGATGCTACAATATGGTTCTAGCTTGATGCTTTGAAGTCATTGTGTGGTGTGAAAATTTTCTATCCAAAATTTCCAAACCAGATCTACTTGAATAATTAGTGAGATTAAAGGTGAGGGTGAGGTTTACAGTAAAATATGAGATCAAATTTGCTGCCAACAATAATATGTGCTTTTGCTTAACACTGTCATTAAGTGATAATATTTGCAAGCAACTTCTTTCACCTTGTAAGGAACTAAATGTGTTATTCTTTTACCTCTATTTTCAAAAGGTGGGAGGAAGTATCAGATCAAGGGGTGTGCTGGTCGGGGTGGCTTTGCCCAAGTATTTAAAGCGCATGTTGATAGCAATCCAGATGATGTTGTTGCATTAAAGGTTTACCTTACTTTGATAAATATCACAGTTTCACATATTGTACTCTTTCCAAATTTGAACAAACTCCTCTTGCAGATACAAAAGCCTGCTTTCCCTTGGGAATTCTACATGTACCGTCAACTTGATGAACGCATCTCAGGCGAACAAGTACAACAATTCTAGTTGCTTATGATTTTACATCATTATCAGTATCTGCTGGTCCGATGAGCATTTCTGATTTTTTTCTAATTTCATTGTATCAGAGATCAAGCTTTGGTTTTGCGCATAAAATTCATATCTATTCTGATTATAGCATACTCATATGTGACTATCTATCTCATGGGACACTTCAGGTAGGTTAATGTCCTGCTACAGCTCCAGCCAAACATGAGGGAAAAGGGTTGCCTCTCTTACATTTGCCATTGTGTTGTACAGGATGCCATTAATTCTTATGTTGTCACTGGCAAATTCATGGAAGAGGTTTTGTGTATTTATTACACTATGGAGATGCTTTATATGTTGGAAACTTTGCATAGTCTCGGCATCATTCATGGTGATTTCAAGCCTGATAATCTCCTCATTCGCTATTCTAAGTAAGTGTTGTTTTGAAGGTTTAGTACATATTTCTTGTAGGCTTGTAGCTATAGATTGTTACTTGATGTATTGTAAAATATCAGCAACTATAATAATGATGTTTATAAAAGGAAAACTAATGATCCTATGGACAATGTATGAACTGTTATTTTCTAGTCTTTGAGATTTAACTCTACCACAATAAACGCAACATTCCTGATGGTTTAATGTGAATGACATTGCACTTTATTTTATTAAAATGCATTGAGGGGGAGAGGCCTCACGATTCACCTGTAAGTGGATCAGCGCACTAATGTATAAGCCATTTGCACCTGTTCAAAAAAGTCATGAAGATATTTATGCAATACTCCTGCTTTTCACCTTTCAAATAATCAAAAAACGTGGGGAAAACAATTTCAATGCTTATTTAGTTGTTTTCTCAAGTCCAAAGTTGGCTTCAAATTGATTGTTAAATTTATTTCGGTGCAATATGGAATTTTATTTAAGTTATTTTCAGAGTTTGGTATATAATACATAGATTTCTAATATTTTCAGGGATGACCTCACAGAAGAAGGGTTTAAAGATCGAACCGGCCCTTGGCTTGATCAGGTTTACTCTGTGGATATAAACTAAGAAATTTTGTTGTTAGAATTTGACAACTCGACTTTGTACTTAAAAAGTTCTATTTAGCAGGGTCTTCACCTTGTTGATTGGGGGAGGGGGATTGATCTGAATCTTTTTCCCGTTAACACAGAATTTACTGGTGATTGTCGAACTTCTGGGTTTCGTTGTATTGAAATGCAACAGAAAAAACCATGGACCTTCCAGGCAAGTCTCCGTTTCATGAACGATTGCAAAATGGCATCTTTAATTTCACTGGAATGATTGCCTTGACATTGCTGTGTAATTTCTCAACAGACAGATACATATGGCCTATGTGTTGCTGTCCATATGATGCTGCATAACACTTACATGGAGATTGAAAGAAAAGCCTCGGATGGTGACTACATCTATTTACCAAAATCATCTTTTAAACGGTATTATTCTTTCATTAACGCGTGTCCAATTTCTTAAATTAACTTGTTTTGATCCACCAGCTGTGGTCGCGGTGTCATCTCTGAACTTCCATTACATTTTTTTGCACAATTGCTTTTCAGATATTGGAATATTGACCTATGGAAGGCTCTCTTTACAAAGCTGCTAAATGTCAGCCCAGGCAACAACGATGTAGAGTTGCTGCGTAGCTTGAGGAAGTCATTCCTAGACTACATGCATGACAATCCCCCGCTTATAAAGAAACTGAGAGAACTGCTAGTGAAACAACGGGCTACCCTGTGTTCTGCTTGATGCACCTCTGGTCATCGTCATTATTCGCGCAGACATTTTGCAATGACAGTCTCGTAAGTTTCCAACGGATAACGAATTGTTATCTGGAAACAGTCTTAAAGGGTGAAATCTCCCGATTGCGCAATATAGTACACATATATGCACAGCCATAAATCCGACTGTCTGTTTGGTGTTGTATTACTGTATCCCTCCGGAGGGTCTTACAAGAGAATTGGTTCAATGATATGTGTATCGTCAAGGTATCCAGTTGAAATTTCTAGGAATCTAATATGCTACAACTCCTCGTTCTCTTCCCATCTCCGTTTGGTTGATGTATTAGAATGATAGATTCAGTTGATGTCAGCTTAATTATGATTATTAATGAAGTTGGCCTTCCATTTTAGGTGGTGACATTTGCAGGATTTTAATATCGGTCCTTGAGTTGTCGATTAAAAGTTTCAATAGCTTGGAACCACTCGCTCAAGTAAGTTGAAAATAATAGGACTGCCATTGTACTAGTAATACTATGTGTGGTTAGAATGATAATACTGTTCAAATTCTATCCACGTTCATGTCACATTCTCGGTTAATATTATGGGTAAAACAACTCTAATCTTTGAATTAGGTAGAGTTTTATTTAATCCCTAAATTATTTTTCTTCGTGATATTTATTGAATTAAATAAACTGAAATTATGAAGAAAAAAATACTTCAATCAAATGTTGACATATGTTAGCATATAATTAAAGGATTAAATTTATTAAATTACAATAAAACTAAGAGTAAATTGATAGAATATTATTTGTCATGTTAAATTTTAATGACGTAAGACTTGATTTGTATCATTTAAATAGTTTGATTGATAAAATTAAAAGATCGATGACCAAATTGAAATATTTCCTATTTGTAAGTAAATAAAACGGGGTCGTTTAATTATTTGACTTAAAATCCCGTTTCAACTGAAGTTTTCGATCATCGATCAAATGCCATGAAAATGTTATATATTCTTCCTAATGTTTTTAGTCGTTCTTCCTGTAATCTCTAACAATTTCGGCAACTCAGTATTCAATTCTAAATGAAGCTCATGAAGTTACTCTAAACGGGGTCGTTTAACAATTTCCGCAACTAGGTTGATTGAGTTAATTGACTATTTGTCATTAGGTCGTCTATCTTGATCGGGAACGATAACTCTGATACCTTTGTAACAAGTAAAAACAGAAAACTAAAGAAACTGGAAGAATAACAGACTAGAGATAGAGATTAGATGAAGAACGACTGAAAATAAGAGCAAGAATATATAACATTTTCATTTCATTTTATAGATGATCCAAAATCTCAACTGAAATAGAGTATATATAGCATAATCCAATTACATTGTATGAAATTCTTTTAGTTTTACACCTTCTTATGACCATTAGATTATAGAAACTAAAGGTTGAGATTAATAGTAGAAAATGAGAAGATATTCACTGAAATATATATATATATATATATATATATATATAAGAAAGAGAGAGATTAAATTTAGAACTTTTGAATTAATAAAAATAGACGACTGAAATTAATAATAAAAGAATGAGAATATATTCCTTAAAAAATGAAAAGTTATTCTCACTCATATTTTTTACTCATTCAAAAATTCTGAATTTGTCTAAAATTGAAATAATTTTATATTACAAATCCCAACATACTCGCACACATACCCACACAATGATGTCAATATTAACTTAATATTATTAACACACACATAATGATGTCAATATTAACTAAATACTATTAAATTCAACTCAATTATTTAAGTAAACTTTTGCATCTTTAAGACAACATTACAATTTTTTTTACGAACTAATTTATCACAGTGGTTAATGGAATTGTTGTTGTTCCTAGAAGTCACGGGGTTCAAACACCAACGGCTGCAATAAAGTGATTGAGCGTTCATTGTCAAATGATTGAGAATATTTAGAACAAATACTATTTTGTAATCATTTTAACCTAATAAAAAATATAATTGTTTATTTTCCTCTGATACAATTTAACTTATATATAAAAAAAATTGTTAACTGAATATATTAGATTTGATTCGATTACAGTCTACTACCTTTGAGACTCCGGCTCAATTTTTCTTACCACATTTTTTTTTTCATTTTCCTCTATTTTATATATATTAAATTTATTAAAATACTTTTAATTAAAATTAAAATTAAATTGATAAAATATATAACTAATGAGATTAAATGTATTATTACATAAATTTATTTAAATATCACGTAAATAATTTGCTAATTTAGTAATTGATATTTTTTTAAGGTGACTACAAGATAATATCTATTCATAATATTTGTAACACTCATTCAACAGACACAACTGCTCAAACTTAATATCTCGAGAAAAAATTGTTGGAACCGTTGGCGCACCCTATGGTGCAGCGAAAACAAACACGGCGGTTTCATCAGTGATCCATGTACGATAAAAACTAAAATCAAGAGGAAGAGATACGATTTCTCACCTTAGGTTCCTTGAAAAGAAGCAATACAACAAAGGCTCACAATCTCACGAACAATTCGAATCATAGCCTCCACAAAATAATCGTCTCGGTCTCTACTTAGTTCACCCAATTGAAAAACTATTGAGAGAAAACTCTTTCGCGAAAACTGTTTTTAGGAGTTTCAAAATTTTAGTAAAAAGGGTAAGCAGGTGCTAGACCAACATCTCCCTTTTATATGTGTTGCCCTAGCTATTCGGATTTTAATCCGAATTTTATAAGGAGTATATATCCTTTAATTAAATTCGGTATTAATGTGTATTAAAAATTCCTCGCTATATATATATAATAATATTAACTATACATTTTATTTATGTACAATCAAATTGTACATATATAACACATTTATGAATTGCTCTTTTCAACAATTGGGTGTGATCCTGTAGATTCCTGTAACGTTAGTAGTAATAATTAGAACCATTCTACTATTACAAACAATGAGTGACATCTAACAATATATCATTGTTACCTAAGTTACAAGAAGTCACGATTCGACATGACGTATTCATGACTAACTTTTTTAATGTATTATATCTTTTTGTCATTTATATCTGGAATAGGCACAAGTCTTGGAATAGTCACACTTGTGTAGCACATCTATTATTTCTTGATATTTAGAGTAGACTATAATAAACGAAAAATTGTGATATCTCATATCAACTTATTCGAGCATGTACATGCATTTCTAGTCTCACTCAATCAAGTGAAATGTGATATATTTCTTATTATATAAGAAAGACAAATCATATATTGATTATTCATATCCCACTACATATATCATGATATGTTCAATGTCAATCTTTATAGTGGAACCAGTTACGGATCATGTTTAATTGTATCAAAACATACACCAATATATGTTGAGATAGTAATGATCTCAAATATAATCATCATACATATAGTTGTCACCATGAGCAATATCATGATCATCACATAATAATTCAAGACATATGCTCATGATGGGTCAATCCAATACATTGTTCTTTAACAATATATTCATGTATCAATTGTGACATATCTATGTCAATGATAACTCATTGTCATCAATCAATAACATGTTAGTCTTAAGCGTATTATTATTGTCTATGCACATAGTAATACTTGATTAAGGATCTTTTAATAATAATTATATTATTATATGGACATTATTATCTTTTAGTTTATTTAATGAATAGAAATATAACAAAAGAAAATAACGGTCAATAAATACGGTAAATAATCTATGACAATACAATTATCATGTGATTGGTCTTTTGACATATTCTAACAAAAACAACACTCTTTTTAATCATGAGATCATTCAATGAATTCATAATTGATAAAAAATTTAATTCAATACTTAAAATAGAATTTATTAACATCGATAGTTTAGGGTTCCATTTTAATAATGTACTCATTCAGCTAATACGCGCAGAAAACTCCTATTAACTTTAACTTGGGTATCAAAATTAAGCTTGTTAATCATCGGTCATCACCATTCACCACACAAGTTGGACAGGAGCGTAATGCAAGCCCGGGAACCTGTCCATAAGATCAAAGGTTAGCATGGATGCCTTTGGTTTTTGTGGCCGCCGCTCCAAGTGAACCACCAGCAAAGGCGCCGCCGTTGTTCTCTCGTATGTTCCAAGCATGTTGGCCTTCATGTGCTTGTGCTTTCTCCAAGGAGCCACGTGCATTTTATTCTCCTTCATACATTCTTTGGCAGCGGCGGATAGGATGTTGATCAATGCGTTTACCCTCTCTGTTTTTCCGACCAAGAGCGTCGGTAATCGGGTTACCAACTTGTTATAATCCTCGTTGGCCCTCGCCATTTCGAATTCGGCTCGAAAATTTAACTTGATCACCACCCTCACCTCTCCCTTTTTGGGATTCGATGATTTATCTAACACTTCCGGAGGGAATTTCAGGGGAGCTCCTCCATTTGGACTTGCATATGTAACAATTGGAACCCTTTTTTCGGAGTTGAACCGAGAGCTCCTTCTGCAGACAGTTCCGGCAACCACTGGTCCGACAACTGTATTGTTCTATTTCGGTCAGTGCTTGTTTTGTAGCTTGTCGAATTCTTGATTCCAGACAAGTAGTTCGGCGCAAAGTTGCCTGCAATTTACAATGCATCAACATTGATCACCCAAATAAGGCACGTATTTTAGACAGGAAAACAAATTATTTATAAAAATATATGTATAAAAAATAATTAAAATATATAAGAATTTAAAATATTCCTCCCTCAATCCTTCACTGTTCAACTGCATGTTTTTCCTCATGTTTAAAACTTAAAAGATGGGGCATAGTTCACCTGAAGCAGCTGTTGTTGGGCTTCCCAGAAAATTTTGTTCTGTTCAACCTCTTTGTGGTTAACAATTTCATCAGGGTCGACCGAGTCCCCTGAATTTTCCTCTGACTCATTGCTTCCATCCAAGAATCCAAACATCATGTCGGAGAAACTCGCTCCTCCGTCAAGGAACTTTTCGATTTCCTCCGAATGATGTTGTGTTACCGGCATTTTCCATTTATCCGGCCAATTCCCTTGTTTCAAAATTTTAATGTGGCAATGAAATTTTGGTTCTCAAATTTATAGCAACTAGCAGAGCGTGTTGGGTTGTACCAGGGACTGTGATGATCGGATGTACCAACTGCCGCAGCCAATGAACGTGGCAAGTGGTTACCGGATGAT